AAAAAAAAAAAACTTCGTAACTACCAAGGTCAATGATTTGTCAGCTGATAAGGCTCCCACGTGGCACGTGCCCATATTCAAGGCTGATTTCACGGGAAAAAAAAAATGAAAATTTTCAAAACCTCACTTGTAACAACCGCTTTCATTTGACAATTCAGATTCTGCCCCTTTTATTCATATAGCATGGTTTGATTCACGTGAGATTCACGTGTTCAACTTCTGTTAATTTTTCACGGTAGGGTTAACGGCAATGGGACGGGACGATTGAGATAATGTTCATATTTGAGGGGGACAAGCTGTTTAAATTAAAATTATAAGAAGCTGATTACAACATACTTAAACATGAAAGAGACATATTGTAATTAACTCTTAGTGGCTCAACCCAACTAAGGAGCCTTAGACAAAAATGTTTATCCGAGGTCCTATTAATATTTATTCGGTAATAATAATAGCTATCAAAATATTAAAATATGTTTATTTACAAATAACTTGTTTTACCTTTTGAGATACAACATACGTATTAAAATTTCAAATTCAAATTTTGTAAATTAAAATTGAGATAATCGAAGTCAAATGCAATGATACATGCTATTTATTTAAGATAAAGAGAAACATAATTAAAAATTAATTTAACTAATTAAATAAATTTGTTTCTAAATGAATATAAATATATATATATACAAGTTGAGTGGTTCTACAATAAATAAGACATTACAGAGCTATTTTTAAATAAGAAAAAATTTAGTAAGACAACTATGATTAATTGATTTCAGATGATACACTACTTTTATTTACTCTATTTATAGTCATATTGTGCATTGTAAACAAAGTAATTATAAAATGGCCTCAAATTTAACGTATAAAGTTATTGTTCATACTTATTATATGATAGACAATTAATTTTAATAATAAGATTGTAAAATAATAATAATACATATAATATAAACATTTGGTGAGATAAATAAATTAGGTTTGAACTTTAGAATCCTAAATTGTCGTGAAAGAGATTTGAAAAATTTTGCAATAATACTATTTATATTTTATTTGAGGATTGATAATGATGAGCTTAAGCTTGGGCCTCCCATTTGGAATCCTATGCATCCAATGGGCCCCTTTAAAAGAGGACCTTAACGCCCCCCCATGCGGAGCTCCCAACTTACCAGGAGATTGGGCCACAACCCAGAAATGTAAAAGCCCAAGATCAACTAGTTCAGGATACACCAGTTCGGTCATATCAAGCACGATAACATGTGCCTGCTCAAGAAAAAGGAACTCGGTATAGGATGAGCCCCAAGAAGCTCCCGCTCGTGCCACATGTCCAGGGAACAGCGGACAACCTCTTAGGACTTTAACGAATAAATACTCCCTGATAAAGGGTATGTTGTGATACATTGCATTTCTAACGATTGTGGGCACGGAATGCGTCAGGGTGGTAAACCCCGTTACAGAACAAATGAAGAAAGGTCCATATAATCAATCGAGAAAATGAAGAATCATAAAAACCCTAGATGACCATGTAAAAATAGAAGATGAAGTCATTGTAAAAGGGGGTTCCATAGTTTTACATGAGATATATTGTGCAAAAAAAGCTCACAGCCAAGAGGCTTACTATAATCACTACCTTTTTCAAATAATGCAATTCCCCCCTCCTTTCAAATGTGCAAAAGCNTTTCCATAGCTTTACATGAGATATATTGTGCAAAAAAAGCTCACAGCCAAGAGGCTTACTATAATCACTACCTTTTCCAAATAATGCAATTCCCCCCTCCTTTCAAATGAGCAAAAGCTTCCATAACAGTAGACGTAGCCTTAGTCTTTCAGCTGAGCTGAACCACTTATATTTTATATTTTGATCCAACATTAACATTTACTTCCCCTTTAACCCAAGTATTCATAAAGCTTCCACTGGATCTCACAAAGTAGTTATTCTACAATTGGGTATAGCAATTTCAAGCACTATCGAGGACCAAATACATTAAATAAATAGTGAATTTTGTTTAAAACTAACATTCAATGCCAATTCAATTATTAAAATGCATTAGGTATATAAATTATATCCCAAACTTTCGATTATATACCATTATTTAAAATTTTATTTTGGAACTCCAAAGTTTTTCTTTCAAATTGGGCCCTAGACAATTGTCTTAGTGGCCTATAAGTTTGGCCGACACTTCCGTCACATGTGATGTCTTTTGAGTGGACTGTACGTGTGAGTTTCATTTTTGTTTTATGTAGGGAGGCAATCTTAATCAATAATTGTGTCACATTGATCAATCGTGCTAAAAATCAACCTTCCTAATCAATGAGCTCTCTCAACTTTCCCATGCATATGTTTTAAGTCGTTGTCAATGGAATTTACATAATTTTCATAAAGAATTCTAATAAATTTAACGATGAATGATCAAATTGAGAAGATTTAATAATTCGTATCTAACAAATTATGTCATATCAAATTCGTATCATGTATAAATCATATATAACTAATATACAAACGAGTCGTACCGTATATTTTTTTTAATTGATTTCACTCATACCTAATTCGTTTATTAATTATGTTATTTGGGTCAACTCATTTATTAAATGGATGATTTAAAGAATACTCAAATCCTTTAATTTTATATCGTGCTCATATCGTAGTAACGGATCGTGTCATATTTTGACACACTTAACTCTTTAAACGACAGGATTTAAAGTTTCAAGCCACATTATCCGCTAATTGTTTTGCAAGCAAAGCAACGACAACAATGGTGACTCGGTACGAAAATCATTTGGTAGGATTCCATCTCAATGTTCAAGAGGTCATGTTTCCCAAAAGTCGTATGCTGAAGTTCTTTGTGGTGAAGGCTTGTATACACTTATAGCAACATGACTGCAATAAATTCTCTTTCAAATCTAGCTAGATCCAGCACATAAATATAATTAATTTAACTAAATAATGAGTCATCTTTTTTTGACTTAGTAAAGAAAAAGTCACACATAATTAGTTTTTGTTAATACCGACCCCTCGAATGGTTTGATGTAACAGTAGGGTAATCCTTGATTTTTTTTTTTAAAAAAAAATTATATAAAGACCATCAGTGATTTAAGTTGTATTCAGATTGGGTCCTGAATTTTTTCGGGTATAATCTGAACTTAATCTGAATTAACAAAGTGTAGGCTAATACAAATTGAATCTAAATTTTAGCCGGATTTATATAAATCAAAGTCAAATCAATTTTAGATTCGTGTCGCATTTCTTGTTACCATAACCATGAAAAGTAAGTCAAGTAATGTAAAGTTTGACTTGACAAATTCATGAAGCAATTAGGTGATTGACCAGCAAAACCAGTGGACACATGTATGCACCCGCTGAAAGTTCTGAATCATGCTAAACTTTTTTATTCTAAAAACCTCAAAAATATTTAATGGTTTGGCCATTAAGCTTTGAATCCAGTCTAGGATGATCTTTCTTGCTATTTCCTCACTTCATCAGTAAACCCCTCCCCTTTATTCTTATCCAATTGACTATAATTTAAGCTGTTTAAAACTAATTATTTTTTAAATACAGCTTTTTCCAGAACCCAACCCATGTATGAGGGAAGTTGTATCCACTAAGCCAAGCGGGGATATCTAAGGAGTAGATTAAGTGATAACATGGATGAATTATAAATTCAGATATTTTGAATTTAAATTTTGGTAATTTTTTGAACCAATTTCTGCATGAATAATTTGTCTTTAATCGGACCGGTGAATATCCTAATCAACATGTGGATAGTCTTTCTTTGACTGGACTGATGGGGGGATAAAAAATTGACCTAATTTGTTGTGACGATAACTCTTAAATTTTTTCATTGGAACTTTATCAATTGACATATTATTATATCAATAAATTTGTTTAATTTTTTAGATTTCGGTGGCATTACTCTTAAAAAATCAAGAATGACAAACTTAGACAAAACTGGATATTCGCATTTTAAAAAAAAGTATAAGATTGAACGATCCAAAAAAGGTGATAAACATTGCATTTGGGCCATGAATATGATATATAAAGTATCCTATCGAAATGTCATATCAAATTATTTTTTAAGGGGTATAAGAAGTAACTTGTATCCGAAAAGACTATGAAATGTGAATAATTTTAAAAATGATATTGATAATAGTCAGATAAGTCTATTTAACACGGTTAGATAAATTTATTAAAATTTATCATATTTTATATTATAAATTATTAAACGAGAGCACATTACACAACTGCATAAAATATTCTCCCCAAAGATCTAAAAGACAAGCAAGAGGGAATGAGTCACACGTAACCAAAAATCTATAAATTGGCATACCACCAATAAGCTAGCAAATCAAACCACCATGAAGATCTCTCTGGTTTGCACTCTCTCCCTCTCTCTCCTCCTCTTTCTCTCTCTACCATCCCCTTCTCTCTCCTCCGTTAGATGCAACCCTAAGGACAAAAAAGTTCTGTTAGAAATCAAAAAAGCACTAAACAACCCATATCACTTGGCCTCATGGGACCCATCCACAGATTGCTGTGATTGGTATGCTTTGGAGTGTGATCCCACAACCAACCGTGTCACCGCCCTCACCATCTTCCAAGGCAACATATCCAGCCAAATCCCGGCTGCCGTCGGTGACCTTCCATTTCTCAAAACCCTAATCTTCCGAAAACTGACAAACCTCACTGGAGAAATCCCTTCGGCCATTGCTAAACTGAAGAACCTTGAAATGGTTAGACTCAGTTGGACTAATCTCTCCGGACCCGTCCCTTCATTCTTTAGCCAACTCAAAAACCTAAACTATCTGGACTTATCGTTCAACAACCTCACTGGTTCAATCCCTCCCTCTCTCTCCAAACTCACCAACCTCAATGCCCTTCACTTAGACCGCAACAAACTCACTGGAAAAATACCCGAATCGTTCGGAAAATTCTCCGGCAGTGTCCCGGACCTTTATCTCTCTCACAACCAGCTCACTGGGTCAGTTCCAAAATCTTTAGGTTATTTGAACTTCACAGAGATTGATTTTTCACGTAACAAGCTTACAGGTGATATATCATTCTTTTTTGGCACCAACAAGACGATACAGATCGTGGATTTCTCGAGGAACATGTTCGGGTTTGATCTTTCTAAGGTGAAGTTTCCGGCGAGCTTGACGTCCTTAGATTTGAACCATAACAGCATAAAAGGGAGTCTTCCGGCCGGATTGACGGGGCTTGATCTGCAGTTCTTGAACGTGAGTTATAACCGGCTTTGCGGTCAGATTCCGGTGGGTGGGAAACTCCAGAGCTTTGATTACTCGGCCTATTTCCATAACCGGTGCTTGTGTGGCTCTCCCTTACCAGCATGCAAATGATTATCCTATCGGAGGAGCTGTTATGGGCTCACCCACCCACTGGAAAATTGAGCCCAGCAATTGGATTCTGGGTTAAGTTGTTTGATATCTATAATTGTCCAATCAATATCTGTCTTTAGATTAAATTCAAACTCAATAAATTTATTTTTATTTTCATGTCAAATTGATGAGTGTGCGTTAATGAACATTACCTTTGTTGTAATTTGTTTTATTAATAGCTGCAATAAACATATATTCAAAGTTTCTACCGTAAGGCATTCCAGCAATAGTGTAGCACATAGTTTAGTTAGAATGGCGGCTTCTATTAAATGTTTTGATGTATGGGAGGAGGTGACACCAGATTTCTTAGTGTTCCTCCTTCTCTTGGATATCTTCAATTAATCGAATATTTACTGTTTCAATCAAAAAAAAATCCTTTTAATTAAAAATAATGGAAATTTTTGTATTTTTTTAAGTTATGCTTCTCGTTCCTTGATGAAACCAAACTCATTTGGGTGTTTTTACCATTTCTCCCCTTTCTTCCACACTTCCCTTCTCCCTCTTCTCTCATCACCGCTTTCACAGCACCACTGCCATCGTAGTTGTTTTTTTTTTTTTTT